ACTTTAAAATATCTTTCATCTATTCAAACTCCTAACTACTCCCTTCATTTTTAATCAATTGGCAGCTTGTGATGTTAGGAAGAGCATACTTTCAATCTCATCTAATGCGGTGGGAAGCGACTGCCTCAGTAAAAAAATGATTGTCCCCATCCTTGATGATATTCTTCCTGTCCTATGTAACATTTTCAACCATTCCTTATCCTACGGCGTCTTTCCATCTGCATGGAAAGCAGCTGAAATTATTCCATTGCCAAAAAAATCGAAACCTTCGTCCTTCTCCGACTATCGCTCTATATCTATCTAACCATTCCTTTCTAAAGTTCTTGAACGTCTTGTTTATAATCAACTCAACAAGTTTCTGTTAAGTAACAATCTCCTAAATCCCTTTCAGTCTGGCTTCCGTGCAGGACACAGTACAGTGTCAGCATTAGTCCACATCACAGATGATATTAGAGGAAGTATGGATAGTGGAAACGTAACGGTATTATCCTTAGTCGACTTCAGTAACGCATTTAATACCATCGATTTCCATATTCTCCTTGGTATTCTTCGCTCTCTTAACATATCTCCAGGGGCAATTGATAGTTTCACAATTACCTGTTTGGGCGTCAGCATGGCATTGACGACTGGATGGCGTAGTGGTTTGTGTAACGGACTGCTATTCCAAAGGTCGCGGGTTCGATTCCCGCTCAAGTCAAACATTTGTGTGCATGAACATTTGATGTTTGATTTGGTCTGGGTGTTTCTATGTATAATATGTATGTATTTACAAAAAAAAAAGTATATATGCATTTATATCAGTTGTCTAGTACCCATAGTACAAGCTCTGCTTAGTTTGGGACTAGATGGCGTTGTGTGTATGTGGTAGAATATATTATTATATATTATTATTATTATTATTCGACTTGAAGACTCCCTCTCTTCTTGGTATAATGCAACCGTCGGTGTCCCACAGGGTGACGTTCTATCTCCATTACTCTTCGCAATTTTTATTAATTCTATTTCCAATCATTTACTTTCATCCTACCACCTGTATGCTGATGATTTACAGATATACACCCATGCACCTGTCAGTATGTTATCGACTGCGCTTAATATTATTAATGCAGATCTAGAGTACATAAGTGCTTGGAGTAACGACTATGGACTAAAATTAATCCAACAAAATCACAGGTATGCATCCAAATTTTTTGTATACGATTCATATTTGGACTTCGCAAATATGATCATGTTTCCCACTACCGTAAAAAGCTCAGGTGGCTTCCGATCCGCCTTCGCTAAGGCGAATCGGAAGCCACCTGAGCTTTTTACGGTACCCAGAACAAATATTATGTCTGGGAGTAATTTATCTACGATATGTAGGTATTTAGAAATATTTAAGCATGTTTATCAGTAGTCTGGTTACATAGTACAGAATTGCGTGTGAGACGTGTGATGTTAATATTATTATTATTGCGGTAAAAAGTAGCCATGTTAATCGCTGATAATATAGCTTTCCATTGGTGAAAGAATCTTTAAAATCGCTTTAGTGGCTTAGGCATGATAGCGTAAGAAACAAACAAACGAAAAACATACAAACAAATTCATTTTCACATTTATAGTATAAGTTTGAACTTAAGTATTTTTTTTAAAGACAGTCATTTCTTGTGCAAAATATAGATTTGGTGAAAAATAGCCCCTGGACTTTATGCTGCTCCGCACAGGAAAAAAGGTATCCTGCAATCCGTTCCGTTGGAACTGATTCTTACTTTCATTTTCCTAACAGTTCTAATTTCCTATCTTGACGCCAACCAAAGTTTACAAATTCCTCGAACTTAGCTAACCCGCGCAAACATTAATGGTCCTTCTCCCCCAATTTAAATCAGTCCCTATCGCTTTAGTTCGTTTATCGCTCATATTTCGCTATACAAATCGTCAATTCGTTTACCGGCAACCGGCCGCCATCTTCGTGTCGCACGCGTCGCTCATTTGTAAAAATTCATAAATTCATTTAGTTTAAGTTTCGATATAATTTCGTATATTCGCAATTAAGAATCTCGTATTAACTTGTATACCTTGTTTCGCATAACCCGCATCGCATATTTCGTACTATAGGTAAATTATATCTACCTATACATAATCGCTCATTAAATTTAGAAATTGTTCGCATACCTACTTATGAATAAAGTCTTGCTTTCATTATCGTAAACAAATCACAGGTCGCATTACATTTTCGTTTCGTGTTGAATACCTACGTTTAAACAGCTGTGGACAGGCAATTGGTTCTACGCCTTGTTTATTGTTTCTTATTTACACTATTTACAATATATACATACATAACTTATCGAGATGGCACCTACAGACGTGAATGTACAATTAAAAACGTTATATGCCAAAAGAGATAGGATCTTTAGTCGTATGCAAAGTATTTCTAAACGTGTAGGAAATCTTGAATCGTTATCAGCACAAGAGACATTTTTGAGTGAAATTGAAACCGTAGATGATTTACGTACTGAGTTCGAAAATGTGTTGGATAAAATAGTTAGCTTGGAATTTAAATTAAACCCAGCTCTTGAGATTGATTATCAGCCACTGTCATCGTTCGAGGACCTTTTGGGACGTGTTAGACGTGCTGCAAAAATATTACAATCGCAGCCTAATGACACCAAACCTGCTAATCAATACAAATCGCCTAAATTACCACCGATAGAGATCCCCGAGTTTAATGGAGATATAAAAAATTGGCCGCTATTTTTCGCTAGTTTTCAAAATGCTGTGCATAATAATTGTTCGCTGTCAGAATCGGAAAAGTTGTATTACTTGATAGGTAAATTGATAACCCCATGTGCCGAGAATTATTTATTAATTTTCGATTTGCTTAAAAATAAAGGCGGAAGATAAACGGCTAGTGGCCACCTCGTATTTAGATCAAATATTTGATCTCAAGGCCATTTCATCCGCAACCCCATCAAATCTGGAACAATTCCTTGACAAATTCGCATGCTCAGTCGCCGCCTTGAAAAACTTGAAGTTCGATGACCTCGCTGATTTTGTATTTTTATATATTGCACTCAAGAAATTAGACTAAGACACTGCACGTTCATTCGAATCGTTTAAACGCACTTGTCCAATGCCTATGTTCAAAGACCTGTCATCATTTGTTCGCGAGCACATAAAAATATTAGAACGCACTTCATTAGTCAAACATGGAACCACAAAGAAGACATTTGAACGAAAAATGGATACGGCAGCTATGTTCCGAATTCGTCGACCACACATGCATACGTAAATGCCGCATCCAGTCCTCAGCAATCTTCGTGCTCCTTGTGCAATAGTAAACATGATCACTTGTACAAATGTTCTGAGTTTCATAATCGCAAACCAAACGATCGGTTCAAATTTGTCAAAGCAAATAATTTATGCATAAATTGTCTAGGTGGAGGACATCGCCTGTCCGCGTGCGGTTCGAATTCCTTGTGTAAAAAATGCAACTCTAAACATCACACATTATTGTGTTTTCGGGACACATCCGTAAACAATCACCATAGCAACTCGTTCGATACGCGCGCTCACGCCGCCGCCGCCACTGCCGCCGCGCCGGTTACGTCGGGACAGGTTCGACAGGAAAAGAAATCTGACAAACCTCGTTACGAGGAAAAAAAATAGAAAAAGGAAATTATTTGAGAAACAAAATGATTACGGCGAATCTTCTGCTACCCCCGATATGAACGAAGTAGATTTAAAACAAGCAACAGCATCATTTTTATCACGTATTAAAGATTTAGTAAAAGATAGAAAAAGTATTCAGAAAAAGACAGTATTACAACGGGATTCCAGTGAATGGCTCGAGCTAAGAAAGTTAATCTTAACTGCATCAAATTTTGGCAACGTAATAAAAAGGAAAAAAAATTACGGGAATTGCGTTAAACAGATTTTATGTAAAAAGAATATTTCTTTTGTCCACTCAATTGCTCATGGAGTAGAAAACGAGGATATCGCACTTCAACAGTTGGCAAAACATGAAAACATTATGATAAAACCTTGTGGTCTTTTTATTGACCCAGAAATTGATTTTTTAGGTGCTTCTCCAGATGGAGTTGTAGGTGAAGATACTGTCGTTGAAGTGAAATGTCCTATGGCTGCCCACAAAAAAGGAATGAAAGCAGCCATAACAGAAAACAAAATTTTGCGTCATAATAAAAAAACCGGAAATACGTCAATAAATAAAAATAGTGATTGGTACTTTCAAATTCAAGGGCAACTACATATTTCAAGAAGGGAAAGGTGCATTTTTGGTATATGGGGAGGGGAAGACCAAAACATGGAAGTATTATACATAAAAAGAGATGAAGATTTTTGGAGAGAGTACATGGAGAATAAGCTTGTAAATTTTTATATGATACAAATTATACCGGAGATAGTGGATTCTCGACATGTTCGGGGAATGCCTTTACGTAACACGACTGATAAGGTATGCCAGTGTCCTCATTTTTAGAGCAGCATACTAGGACTCTGTCACTCCGCTCATTTATGGGTCTGTGTATACACTTTCATATTAAGGTTCCGGTGATATACAGATATATATATATATGTGTGTGAGATATACAACAGGCAGCCATGGCAACGTCCGTCGCGCCATAAGGATCTCTGTTTTCCGAAGACACCAAAAATTGTGTATGACGTGTATCTAATGCTCACTTGTGTACTTACGAAATAAAGATTTTTTTTTCTTTCTTTTATTACGAGCAATAATTCAGTGTTTTGTAAAATTATTTATGTCTAGTGACCCAACCCGCGGCTCATGTTGAATATTATTTACTTCATTAATAAATAAAATTGACTTTCTGTGTGGTTTATTTATTTTCGTATAATTATATTTCCAAATGGAATAAATATGTACTCAAGCAAGAAACATTCTTAGTAAATATTTTGCGCAAATAATATTTATATCGTTTTCAGTAAGTAATCAGAAATACATTCATAAAAAACTATCAAATTGCCGATATCCAATCATTTTAATTTCAAAGTAAGTAGGTAACTATTGTTTTGTCGGGTGTGGTACTACTGGTAGTCGTTATACTGCGGCAGCTCGGCAGCGAGAGCGCGCTATATAAATATTTCGCGCGCTTGCAAGCGGGCAGCCCCGCACCTGCTCCTCTCAAGCCCCGCACCTCACCCCCTCGAAAACAGCCAAGCCCTGAACTCACGTCACCTTAAGAAGGAAGTTTTGGGCCTACTACACCGCGCTGGCCAGACGGGTTGGCACAGGTTTTGTGTCAACTTGGTCCGAAGCTGGTGGACACTGCCTCCGCCCTAGGGCGACTTTTGCCCAATTTGGGCGGGGCCAGTGTTCCCACGAGGCGGCTGTACGCGGGGGTTGTCCGGTCCATGGCGCTTTATGGTGCACCGGTGTGGGTGGCGGCTCTGACCGCCCCGAATAGGGCGCGCCTCTGGCGCCCCTAGAGGATATTGGCGGTCAGAGCCATACGCGGATACCGCACGGTGTCCACCGAGGCGGCTTGCGCCTTGGCCGGAACACCCCCGTGGGATTTGGAGGCGGAGGTGCTCGCCGAAGTTTATCGGCGAGTGGCTGACTTCCGGGCGGAGAGCGGATTTTGCCCTCCGCCCGAAGACGTGCGCGAGTGGCGCGAAGCCGCTCGCCGAGCCACCATGGTCAGATGGTCGTTCCGGCTGGAGACTCCACGCGCTGGCTTCGCCGCCGTGGAGGCTCTCCAGCCGGTCATAGCCGAGTGGGCAGGGCGGCAGCACGGGACCCTTTACTTCCGGCTGACGCAGGTGCTTTCCGGGCACGGTTGCTTCGGAAAGTACCTGCACTCGGTCGCTAGGAGGGAACTGAGTCCCGCCTGCCACCACTGCGACTGCAGTGAGGACTCGGCCCAGCACACGCTGGCGGTCTGCCCCGCATGGGCGACGCAGCGCCGGGCCCTCACTGCAGTCATCGGAGCAGATCTCTCGCTACCGGCAGTAATTCGCTCCATGGCCGGTAGCGACAGTTGTTTTACCGCGGTCGCAACCTTCTGCGAGGAGGTAATCTCGCAGAAGAAAGCGGCGGAGAAGGCCCGGGAGGACGACCTCCACTCGGACCTGATCCGCCGCCGGCGAACCGGGCGGCGGAGGCGCGCTTACCTGCGCCTCATGCCGCCCTGAGTGTGGCCGCGGGTGGACGGGATGGGTTCTCCCCTCCACCCGCATTAGTTGGCCAGCCGCGAGGGGGCGGCGTCCGCGTGTGCCGGACGTCGCCTAAAGAGAGGATAATTGGAGACGGAGCCCGCACCAGGAGCGGGCTGGCGCTGGGAGGGGTCCAGAAGGCGATAACTACCTGGACCCCTCCTAAACTGGAAGCGCAAAGAGGGCACACCGTGTGGTTTTAGTCGGTTCGAGTCCGACACACCACCCCGCCGCAAACCCCGGTGGGGTGACGGTCCGAGGGGATTTCCACACGTTAAAAAAAAAAAAAAAAAGGTTTTGTGTCAAGTTTTCTTTCTCTTTGCAGTGCTGTTTTCCTGCTTAGTTTGTTCCCTTAGTCGGCTCTTACTATACCCTCGAGATGAATACAGGTGGTGACACTCCATATTCTTAATCCCTCACCACACGGAAAATAATTTCCACTAATGTATCTTATTTCTGTTGATGCTCCACAGCAAGAAATATTTTTCAATGTTTTATGTATAAATTGCCCATCTTTGCAGAAAATTACGACAGCTTACGATGAAACTAAACTAAATTTTCTACACGGCACTATGAATGCAAAAATAACTGACGCCTCCTTTTTCGACCTCCACCACTCCGACATCCCATAACCGATATGTTTGTTTTGCCCGGATGTCGTACTAATCTTGCAATAAATTATTTTTGTAAGAATGTGCAATACGTACAATTATTGAAACATAAAGAATTTTGTCAATCTGGATACATTTAGTAACAAAGCAAGCACCTTTTAAAAGTATCATAAATAAATGTATAGTATGAACTTTAGTACCCATGGGAGAGCCATGCTTCGGCACGAATGGGCTGGCTGGACCGGAGTGATACCACGGCCTCACAGAAAACCGGTGTTAAGCAATTCTTTCGTTGCCCTTCACTGAGTGAGTGAGGTTACCGGAGCCCAAATCCCCCCTCCCGCTGACTCGAGCGGGAGGGACTCCAAGGACAGCAACGCACTTGTGAATTTTGAGTTGCAGGTGTCCATGGGCGGCGGTAGTTGCGTACCATCAGATGACCCGTCTGCTCGTTTGCTCCCTTATACCAGAAAAAAAAAGTAAATAAATATATATACTAGAGTATTACATTAAGTGCTATGCATTTTATGTAAACATGCGCTTAAAGAATTTGGTTAAAATATAAATTAAAAAGTTGTTGTAAAAAATTATATAAACTGTTTTATTCTTTAAGGTAGTGTTGTAATTGAATAAATAATTGCAGAGTATTTCAATTACTATGTTTTTATTTTGTTTAGAAAAGTAGGATATTAAAAAAGCGGGTAGTTGATTTACAATAGGTTCGCGCGACGTACCGCTTAACACAAAGTTTTGAAATCGGTCGGATATGCACGCGGTGTCATAAACCAAAATTAAGGAAATAATTTGTTCCGTTCGAATGCGCGTATTGTCGCAGTGGTGTATTATTTTGTGTTACGGTTATTGGCTAGTTGGACTGGACTAGAGAAGACGGCCGTGACCAGTGGAGCACCGGATGCTGGTTACGGAAATACGGGTTGGGACTACACTGGTAACGTAGTTTATCAATATATTTATATACAACACATTTAGATTTACACATCACAGGCACACATCAGAGGCACATTTACACATCACAGGGTTCCGAACAGAAGATGGATCAGCCTCACTGGTAAGTGGTTAAATTCTTCTCTTGTACAGCTCCGCGCTATCGCGGACAGTTTGGGGTCACGGGAGAATCCCAAACATTACTGGTAGAAGAGCGTGGTTCGGTTAGGCTACGTTTACGATTCACAAGAATTAAAATTATATTGTAACGGGTACTATTATAGGTTATTACGGTTACGTTTTTTAAGTTATATTAGCAATGGCTGTATATCAGAATAGTTTGTTTAGTGTATAGGATAGTGTATCTTTGGTATATTTTTAAGATTTGAAAATTTCACATTCACATTTTTAGTTTGGCGGTAAACTTTTTTCAACATATTTCTGGAATAAATTTATAAGTGCAAATACGTGGGTATTTCTGTGTTCGGAACAAAGATTAGCGTAGTAACAGATGTGACAGTCTGTCTGGCATAGATTAAGATTTACTAGAAGTGAAATTTGTAATAAATGTACGGGTATTGTTCTTAACCGACTTCGGAAAAGGAAAGGTTATGTTTTTCTGATTTCGAGATTTATACTTTTTTTCTATGTTGTTGCTTACACGATACGGTTTGGTTTACGTAGTGTAAAATATTTATTTAATTCTAGGTACCGCCTCGGACAGACGGATTTTATTGTTTCATTTTTATATTGGATTTTTGTATTTAAACAATTAGTTTCCTTTGTTACGAGTGCACTTACGGCTCATTTTGAGATGTCGCCTACGGTAGCTAGGGCAACATTAGCACGTGTATTGAAATGGTTACAGTCAGCTGCCGGTTTGATCGGTCGGCCGGACAGGGTGGTTGAACTGAGTAATCGCCATGAAAAACTGGAAGTTTACTAAGGACAATTAGAGGAGGCTTACCAGGTAATCCTGGAGGCGGAAGCCTCGGTGGAGGACGAGACGGTCAGGGCGAACTTCGCTCGTTACCACCTGGACTACGAACAGGCTTTGGAACTCGCGGATACGTTTAGGGCAGCGTATACGCGAATGAATAGTACTTACGCAACCGGGATTGGTCGCCCGGCTCCCGTCTCTCAACCTTCCCCATTTTTCGGGAGGATATGAGCAGTGGATGGGGTTCATTCATTTATTTGATAGCTTGGTGCATGCAAGCTCGGACTTAAGCGCAGCTCAGAAAATGGGCTATCTGAGAACGGCCTTATCCGGGGAGGCTCATGATTTAGTGGCACATTTGGACGTCACTAATGATAGTTACGAGACGGCTCGAACATTGCTAACGGAACGGTATCAAAATATGCGCCGATTAGGTGACGCTCACGTAAGCCGTATACTAGGCTTACCAAAGGTGACCCGGGTCACCGACCTTCGGGCTTAGCTACTGAACCCACTTACAGTAGCATATAATGCGTTAGGGAAGCTCGGGTTTCCAGTAAAGGAATGGTCATTTTTACTGCTTCACATAACGCTCGGTAAGCTGCCAGCTGAGCTGAAGCTCAGGTTTGAACACCAATTCAGACCTGCTCCACTTTCTGGAAGAGGAGTCTAGGATGGTGGACAATGTGGAAAGGCCGGATGCCCCCCACTTGAGTAGATCAGATAGATATATCGACCACCCCCGAAAGAGAGGGGCTGGTCAGATATCATTGCGAGCTCGGGCTCCGCCTAAGGGATTTGCGATGGCAGCGAGCCAGGCGCTGTCTCCCTGCTACTTTTGTGACCGAGCGGCTCACCCGCTCCTGAATTGTGAGGACTTCAGACGAGCTAACGTTGGGGTTCGTCGCCAGTTTGTATGGCGCACAGGTCACTGCTGGGTGTGTTTGGGTAGACATCTAGCCACGGATTGCGAAGCCTTCAAACCGTGTGCCCAGTGTAATGGGCCACATCACACTATACTTTGCCAATTACTTATAGCACAGGTTATCCTATTGTAAGTACCAGCAGAACACTTTATAATGTTATTTGTGTTTGGACTATAATCTCGAAATGTCTAACCTGTATATACTAATTTGTGGCAATAAAGAATTTTATTATTATTATTATTATAATTCGGGAGTGGTAGTGGTGGAAACTCCAATGGTCGTCGGTCAGGTCGACGCACCCTGGAGAAGAATCGCCGATCAGGTCGGCGCTCCCCGGTGCATCAGGATGCACCAAGGGGTGGGGGTGCCCTTCAGGATCAGTTCGCCGGGTATACCCCCAAGAACCACAGGGATTCTCGCGGGGGCTCGGGTACCCAAAATGAGCATCGGGATGCTCGCAGGGGCGGGGGTCTCCCCTCCTCCTCTCATCGATATTATTATGGTTCGTCAAGAGCAAACATAGAAATCGGTTACCAGCACCGGGCTGATGTGCAACCATCGGAGAATCAAGTGGAGTCCCACATTTCAGCTGCAACTTACGCTGCTCGGGCAGCACAAATAAGTTCGGAACAGCCGCTGATACAGTCGCGCGCCCCTTTGATTGAGCAAGGTAATTATCAAGTGTCGGCAAGGCATCATGGGTTGGCTCCTCAGGCTCCTTTGTGGATGTGGGGGCCACACCACCAGGGGCTCCCCTCAGTCTCGGCTCGGACCGGTTCCTCTCAGGCATTATAGGTTTTTGCGGCCTCCTCACCAGGTGCAGCCTTTTATTTATTTTATTTTAATTCTTTTTGCACAAACAAAGTACAATGGCGGACTTAATGCCAAAGGCATTTTCTCCCAGTCTACCTTTGGGTGGTGGGGAAATGTCTGAGTAGGTGCATGAAATTAAAATTAGGTTACATACATACTGAGATACACATACATATATATATACTTGCTGAGTAATACATACAAGGCTAACATAATAACATATAAGACTTTAGGGATGTGATGAGTCTGCTAAAGTGTCGAGAATTCGAGCTCGGACTTTCTTCTTAAATGAGAGGCGACTGGGTGCTATCCTGATTTCCAAAGGCAGAGCGTTCCAGAGGAGGACAGACTGAACTAGGAACGAAGAGTGGACACATGCGGAAGTATGAGTGGGGCATAACAGAAGTGGATTGTTTAATGAACGGAGAGTTCTGTTGTGATTGGCACATAGAAAATGAAATGAGGATGTTAGGTAAGAAGGGGAAATAGGTGAGTTGAGTATGGAATAGAGGGTGGTGAGGGCGTGCAGCTGACGGCGCTGACGAATCGTGAGCCAGTTCAATTCACGACGAGAGGAAGAAACATGGTCATATTTGCGAAGGTTAAAGACGAATCGAATGCAGTTATTCAGAAGGCGGTCGTATTTATTGAGGAGATCTGCATTCAGGTCATAATAGCATACATCACCATAATCCAAGATAGGAACAATAAGAGTCTGTACTAGCATCGCTTTTGTCTTGGAAGGAAGGAAGTTTTTAAGCCGATAGAAGGCTTAAAAACTTCCTTCCTTCCAACTGGACACTGGGGCTCAAGGCTGCATCATTACTATTGGACTGGTGAGGACGTTAGGCCTATCGATCTCACGAGACTTTAATTTCATAAGGGGAATTGGTGGTGATCGGGTCACATCAATTTATGGTCAGGTTAGTTTTTTTATTACTGGGGAATCGGGTTCTTCCCCCACTATTTCGGTTACAGCTATTGTTATGGACCAGGTACTTGGCAATCATCCACTGGTATTCCTTCCTGCGGAGGTTGGTAACTCCGCCTCGGGTCTGCCTCTTGCGGATCCCGAGTTTTGGAAACCGAGTTTAGTTGATCTGCTTCTCGGTTCTGATGTCGCAGGACAGGTGTTATGCTCGGGTTCGATTATCGCTTTTCATCGGGATGGACTGATTGCCTTCCCATCGATTTTTGGTTACTTAGTTATGGGCCCAGCATTTCCTTTTATTCAGAGTAATGATCAAACGGTATTTACGGGCGTATCTCTGGCCGAGGTTGTACAAAGGTTTTGGAAAGTGGAGGAGGTTCCTTCGGTCCCTCACACGGACCCACTAGACTTGGAGTGCGAGAGTCACTATAGACAGACTCTGGTGCGTTTACCGTCAGGGCGGTTTATGGCACGGTTGCCATTTCTCTCTTCACACCCACCTCTCGGTCAATCGTTTGGCTTAGCGGAGAAACGCATGTTGTCGATGGAGCGCCGCATGAAACGGGATTCTGTATTTCGGGAAAAATACGTTCAATTCATGCGCGAATATAAGAAGTTTGGACATATGCTCCCCTCGCGTACGGATTACTCCTCGGTGGAACATTACTTTATTCCTCACCACGCTGTTTTTAAGGCTGATAGCGGGAAGATACGTGTTGTATTTGACGGATCGGCTCCGTCATGCAGCGGCGTCTCTCTTAATCAATGTCTACACTCAGGTGCTAAGCTCCAAAGTAATATCTCGGATCTTATTACGGCTTTCCGTAGGCATGTCGTGGTCTTTGCCACAGATATTCGTATGATGTTTAGGCAAACTATCATACATCCGGATGATAGGCGCTACCAATTGATTCTTTGGAAGGAAGATACGTCGCAGCCACTTTTAGTCTACGAACTGGCTACAAATACTTACGGATTAAAGTCCAGCCCTTGGATGGCCATTCGGAGTCTAATGGAGTTGGCTCATCGGGAACGAGCAACATTTCCAAGAGCGGCAGCCATCTTGGAAACAGATCTATATGTAGACGACATATGCACTGGGGCATCGTCTGAGCACGAGGCGCTACTGCTTCGAGATGAGCTCATCGGAATTCTCGCCACGGCTGGCTAGGAGTTACGAAAATGGGTCTCCAACTGCCAACGCTTATTGGCTGATCTTCCGGCAGATCACAGGCAGGATCCACTCCTTTTTGAGGACTCGGGTAGTCCTCACTGTACTTCCGTCTTAGGGGTGCAGTATCAACCGGTTTCGAATACCTTTTCATTTAGGTTCACGACAGTAATGGCGAAACTCTGGACTAAGCGTTCGTTACTCTCTACGGTGGCCACAATTTTCGATCCCAACGGTTGGATCGCGCCAGTGATATTTTGGGCCAAGTACTTTTTACAGCGATTGTGGATCGCTGAGATCTCTTGGGATGAGCCTATCACTGGGGACCTCCTTACCGATTGGCTGGGATTTCTGAATCGGTTGGAGTCCATTACTCAGGTCTCGATACCACGCCATTTTCTTCCATCAGGGAAGTACAAAGCATCGCTCCACGGGTTCTGCGATGCTTCGGTGTCAGGATACGCCACGGTGGTGTTTTACCGTAAAGCGGGATGGTACAACGGCGGTTCGCTTAGTGACGGCTAAGAGTAAGGTTGCTCCTCTACGGACTCGGTTGAGTATCCCTAAGTTGGAACTTTCGGGAGCTGCCTTACTCACTAGGTTACTGAATCACGTTATCTCTACGTTAGGCAAATTGATAGAACTATCGGAAGTTTACTCTTGGTCGGATAGCCAAATCGTCTTGGCTTGGCTTCAGGCTTCTCCTCACATTTTGGAAGTCTTTGTCGCCAATCGAGTGTCTCAGATCCAGGCTTCGGAGGTGAAGTTGATCTGGAGACACGTTCCAGGTGAACTCAATCCGGCGGATGTGGCTTCACGGGGTTGTGTCACACTTTGGTAGACCATCCCCTCTGGTGGGGTCCAAAGTGGCTGGCGGATCCGGTGTCGACGTGGCCTCCTACGACTTTACATGGTACTGAATCTCTGCCTGGCATTAGGATTGCGGCAGTCGAAACAGAGGCCACGCCTTCAGATCCTCTTCTAGCTAGGTACAGCACTCTCAATAAACTTCTGGGAGTCAAGGGCTGGATTAATCGATTCATCCGGAACTGTCGCAAGGTGGATGTAAGAGACACCTTTTTTTTTTTGTTTTTTTCGGGGGTAAATCCTCATGGACTACCTCCGCCTGGGGAAAGGCGGAGGGGCGTGTCGGACTCTTACCGGCTAAAACCACCCCGGTGTCCCCTCACACATGAGAGCGGGGCCGCGGGAATTCAAATTCTTCCGCAGCCCAACACTAGTGCTGGCCCGGTCTGTCCGGGCCTCGTCTCCTGCACGGGGTAGTGAGGTGTTTAACTACCCCGGGCCTCTGAGGCCGCCTCGGGTCCAATGGATAGGGGGCGGGGACTTCCCCAAGTCTCTCGCCCCTGGACCCATTCATGGGGGCCGGAAAAAGGCGTTGTCCGCCCTTCTCCTGCGCCCGGTGCGCCTTCTGCGGCCGGGGAAAGGAGTCGAGATCTCCCTCTCCCGTTCCGCAGTTTCCTTCTGCGACATCACGTCCTCGCAGAAGGACACCACCGCGTCCCACGACTCTGCGCTACCGACCATCCTCCGCACTACGGCCGGCAGCGACAGATCGCCTCCTACTTCATTTGTGAGGATACGGCGCTGCTCCTCCCAAGCTACACACTCGGCGAGCGTGTGTTGCACCGTGTCCTCCCCGCAATGGACGAAGTGGTGGCACCGAGCGTCCGGCTCCCTGTCTATGCGGCACAGGTACTTGCCGAAGCAGCCGTGCCCCGACAGCACCTGCGTCACCCTAAACGACAGGGAGCCGTGCCTTCTCCCGAGCCAGTCGTCGAGTACTGGCCGGATCGCCTCGACGGTAGCGAGGCCGGCGGTAGGGCGCAGAAGCCTTTGCCGCCATTCCGCCACCAAGACCTGACGGAGCTCCTCTCGCGTCGCTCGGGCCCCCCAAGTTGGGAAGCAACGTTGAAAGCGCGCCCATTGCACCCATCAGCTTGGGCGCCAGCCGCCGGAAGTGGGGCCCGAATTCCCATCGGCTGTCGAGCACCAATCCCAGATACTTCATGGTGGACTCGACAGCTATCCGGGCCCCGCTGACCACGATGTGTGATCCCGGCGCCGGTGCACATCGGGGGCCATGAAACACCATGGCCTCCGACTTGTTTAGGGCCACCTCCAGGCCCAGGCGCCGGATGCGGTTCACCACCTGTGACACCGCAGCCGTGGCTATTAACGTCGCCTCCCTGTGCGAGCTCCCCCGGGCAGTAACAAGCGTGTCGTCCGCATAACACGTCAAGTCGGCGCCCGACGGAAGCTCGCCTCTCAGCACCCAGTCGTAGCCGATGTTCCACAGGAGCGGTCCCAAGACCGATCCCTGTGGAACACCGCACGACATGAGGTGCCGACCAGCACCGTCACGTCCCCGATAGGTGATGCATCTACCCTCCAGATAAGCCCCTACCGTACGGCGGAGGTAGGGAGGCACGCGATGGTATTTCAGAGCCTCCCGAATACAACTCCAGGGTAGGGTGTTGAATGCGTTGGAGATGTCTAAAGACACCGCCAGCACCACCCCACCCCGGGACACTGTCTCCTCCGCCAGGGCCCTCACGCGCATGATGGCGTCTATGGTGGAGCGCCCCCGACGAAAACCAAATTGGATGTCGTCCAGGTCCGGCCCCTCCCTGCACAAGTGGCTGACGAGGCGATCTGCACTATGGGCCGATACGCGGACGGCGAGTCCGCGGGGCGCCCCTCCTTCCTGAGCAGGACCAGCCTCCCCTCCTTCCACACACTCGGAAACTGACCCTGCTCGAGACATGCCGTGTAGAGCCCCCTCAGCTGGGGCTCTAGCTCCTTCAGAGCCAGGACGAGAGCTCTACCAGGAACTCCGTCGGGTCCGGGCGCT